TCCCGATTACTGCTTATACTCTTATTACCTCTATCACTACGGGATTTGAATCGACAAGTGCATCTCTGTGCTAATGTGGTGTGGCAACTCGAACTGATGTACGTACGTACGAAGTTCTACGTTGTTACTGACTGACTGACTGACTTGCAGCCTTTTCCGCCGTCGTTGCTAAATCTTCCACATATTTACGTTTGTCGGTTCTGATGCTCATCTTCACTTGTTTGTTTATTTCCGTGTATTCAGCTTGTGCCTTGGCTTTTTCTGCTCTTGTTCGGCTGGTATTGATTGCTGCCTTCTTGTTCCTTCTTTCTTGAATCTTATCCAGTGTACCAACAGTGATCCATTCCTTGTGATGGTGCTTCTTGTGACCCAGGACCTCATGACATGTTGAAGTGATTGCTTCTTTAATCCCCTTCCAGTTGCTCTCCACAGTAGTTCCTTCTCCAATGAGAAGATCATGAAAGGCCTGGAACTTGTTGCTGAGGACTATCTTGAATTTGTTGAGTTTGTTAGTATCCTGGAGAAAGCCCGTATTGAATTTTTGTGATACTGTCTGCCCCGTTGTCCAGTGCTTCTTGAGTTTCAATTTCATCTTGGCGACCAGTAAGTGATGATCTGATGCTATATCAGCTCCTCTCTTGGTTCTCACGTCCTCTATAGTCCTCCTGAACGTTTTGTTAATGCAAATATGGTCGATTTGGTTTTGTGTAGAGTGATCCGGTGAAGTCCATGTGGTTTTGTGTATGCGTTTATGTGGGAATATGGTGCCGCCTATGACCAGTTTATTGAAGGCACATAGATTTGCAAATCTCTCACCATTTTCGTTTCTTTCTCCCAGTCCGTGCCGTCCCATGATGTCTTCATATCCAGTGTTGTCCGTTCCAACCTTGACGTTGAAATCTCCCATCAGAATGGTGAGGTCCTTTGTTGGGCACTTCTCAATGATTGACTGCAGCCTATTGTAGAATTGATCTTTAGCGTCTTCATTGTAGTCATTGGTAGGCGCATAGCATTGGATGATGTTCATTGAAATGCCCACTTTCTTTGTTTTGAAGGAGGCTTTGATGATCCTTGGTCCATGAGATTCCCATCCTATAAGTGCATTTTGTGCTTGTTTGGACAGCATCAATGCAACTCCTTGTGTATGTGGTTCATTTTCTTCTTCATGGCCGGAGTATAACAGGAGCTCTCCTGTAGTTAGTCGTTGTTGTCCAACTTGTGTCCAATGTGTTTCACTGATCCCAAGTACCTCTAGGTTGTATCTTCTCATTTCTGCAGCAATCTGAAAGGCTCTTCCGGTATCCCACATTGTACGAACATTCCATGTACCTAAATAAATGGTCGCTCTGGTTGTCAGAAGGGGCATCGGCCTCGTAACTTCCGAAGGGATTCGGCTTTCATCATGAGGCGTCATAATTCTTCTAAATGAAGATCTTCTGACTCCCAGGGCAGAGTTTAAAAGGTTTGAATAATTTTTTCTGGTTAGCGTTTTTTTAGCGAGTTAGTTTTCTACGGGATGGAGACACTAACCCCATGCCCAACCCTCCTCCTTTATCCGGGCTTGGGACCGGCAGTAGCCCCCGGAGGGACTCCAGGCGGAGTTTTGTTTGAACATTACCATTAAATAAATACTATACATACTCCTTCAAACTTAGATCACTCATGATATTAATTAAAAATTACCTAGTCGTGATTACTTCTATGTGCAGCAATATGCGAAGTCTAGTTATCGATTACAAAGAGAAATCAGTTTCATGTCATGTAGAACTGATGTAACTCTTTTCCTATTCATGAAGTTCCAAGCCCCTCCATTGAGTGATGCAGTATCTAGTCCTCTATGGCAAAGAACTGATCATTTATTTTTCCAAAATTCCTCATGTATATTTATAGCTTGTTCACTAATCAACCATAACATTATTGTTAAATCTTGCTACCGATACACTCAACCTGTCTTGTTAACTGGTCTGCCATAATGTCAAATATTTCCACACTTCGACCGGAACAACGGAGAGAAGGTGCGAATTGCAAGTAAACATTTTACTCCAAAGTTAGTTTATGTACAGAAAAAAAACAGGAGTATTTATAGAGTTATATACGACCTTGAGATCCCGGAAATTTCTGGAACCATAATAAATATATTAACAGTATAGGTGAATATTCAATCAAAACCGTGAAACGTAGTTCTGTACTTTCTGGGGTTTTTCGAGAAGTTTCTAATCAACGCGGATTGAATAAGACGTTTATTAGAGTTTCTGAGCCTCTGAAGACTTCGATGAGGAAGATCTTGGTACTCCATCAACAATTATCTATTCTCTCATATACTTTAAAGTAAAACTGTTAACTTCGTCTACTGGTAGTATCAGTCTGAGACGATTCTAAATCCCATCATTGACAATAAAAACAATCCGTATTTTGAAATTCAAAAGTTAAAGCATCGATTTAAATTCATCTATAAGAAACAAATAGTGATTTACGATCTACAAGATGTTCCTAGTCCGGGCTTCTGTATTATTGTTCAATATTGATTGATATCAAAAAGAAGGCTGAACTAAAGCATGGTCCTAATGTTAATCCATATATAGCCAACAGAACGCTGTACAAACTGAACGAACTGTGTTGGAACTTAATCAACTACTAATGATGTCTCAAATACAGTTCAATTGCTTCTAAACAAATTTAGATTTGATTAGGACATTGATCTATTTCACAGAGTAATTAAATGAAAACTATTCATTCAAACGTTACCACAGTTACAGTCATTTTTTTCAACCTATTGACCTGTGTCTATGTACAAAATTATCGATCTTCTAATTAAATTAATCATTAGAATATTTATTGATTCCTTGAATATTTTTTTGCCTATTTCAACGGATATTTTATTAATATCAGAAAGGGGTGTTTTTGTCAATATTACAGTACTTTGATAGTTGAGATCATAAGTCGGTTGGAACTAAACCATAATAGAAAACCTGGAAACACTGAACGACCGTTTCGTCCTATTGTGGGACTCAGCAGTGCTCATCCACGATCCCGCCCCCGCGAGATTCGAACCTAGGACCTATCAGTCTCGCGCGCGAGCGCTTAACCTCTAGGCCACTGAGCCGGCAACCGACGGTGTTAATGTCTAACTTCAACCAATCCACGAAATTGCGCCACCGTCACCATTGTCTTCAGTGAGCTGATATCTCACAACTGACATGATTTTAATTATTAAAATTACTAAAATCTCCACAAAACCCCTTCTGATAATAATCATCTGCTCGTCCTATTGTGAGACTCCTCATCAGTGCACATCTGCGATCCCGCCCCCCGGTTCGAGCGAAATTACTACAATCTTTACAAAACCCCTTCTGATAACCATCAACATATGCTCACTAGTGACTGGCTTCAAGAGGTATTCCCTGGAGTTCTAGTGAGAAGCAATGACGAGTGGAGTTCAACCGGGTCATTTGTGAGATAGTAACCAACTGAAGATAATGGTGGATGTGTCGCTGAATTTCGTGGATTGATTGAAGTTAGACGTAACACCATTGGATGCCGTCCGACTCAGTGATTTAGTGGTTAAGTGCTCGCGCGTGAGACTGATAGTTCCTTGTTTCGAACCTCGCGGGATACGGTATCGTGGATGCGCACTGCCGAGTCCCATACTAGGACGAAAACACCGTCCAGTGCTTCCAGGTTTTCCATAGTAGTCTAGCCTCAATTGACTCGTGATTTCAACTATTGGAATTACCACAATCTCCAGAAAACCCTTTCTGATAAAACATATTATAAATAAATATTTCCCAGGACAGTTGGGTATGTTTGTCACAGATTAGTTTCATTTAAGGTGTCACTGAAAACAAGGAAGGCAATGTAGGATATAACAGAAATGTGTGCGTATCAATGTTGGATATAGCTTAATTGGTTAGGGCGCCGTACTTATAACGCGGAGGTTGAGAGTTCGAGCCTCTTCTGGAGCACAGTACACAACATCAACCTCAGGTTTGTAATAAGTGTTTCATTTGGCTGAGTATCCTGTGTATGTGTGCTCACTGCCATCTGCCTGCCTGTCGTGCACACAAGCATAGTGTGGTGATCGGACAAACAGTAGTTCGGTGCTTGGTCATATGTAACACGTCAGATTAATACCGTTAAAGAGGAAATCGGCAAAATGAAATACCGTACATAAAAAATAACAATAATAACATTAATTATTATTAGTGGAAAATTAATTATAAGAAATATAGTTTCAAAAGAATCAATCGAATTGAGTAACTATTTCTTCTTATCATTAAAGTGTATGATGAATCATTCGAAAATTAGGATGAACACTTGCCATGAAATTTAGAGATCCTAGATTCCATATTTAATGGAGTTTTTATTTATTTATTTATTTATTTGAACGTATAAATATTGGTACAAAGGGGCGCCGAATACATGTGCGCCACACAAGTCACTTGATTTGTGTGTGGGCTGTGATATATTGTCCGAGTCCCCAGACCGAAGCTTTTGACCCAGAGGTCTAATCCACAACGCAGTGGAGCAACGTAAGGAGATACAGTCTCATGATAGCCGGTGATCAACTATTGGTTCATACGTCATTTGTTCCCTCAGAATTCTGGAGTCCATGTAGAGCATTGGTTCGAAATCAGGGTTTTCCTCCGTATCCATCAAGCCGGTTAAAGCGCCAGATATTCGCTTTTCATCTTCTGAATTTCGTAAACAACACCGTCACCGCGAGAATTAAGTGAGTAGGACTTCCCTGTCAGTGGCTGTATGCACGTTGCCATATGAGAGTATTTTGAGAGGGAAAGCTGACTCTCCCCACTCTCGGTAATACCAGGGCATTTGCTTGGTGTTACCAACGCTTATACAACTAATGATGAAACAACAACTTTCAATTAATAACATGGTTGATATTGTGGTATACACTCTAAACAATAATTAACTATGAACTGAACTCTAATGTTATTATGAATTGTCGTTTGTTTGTTGTTTTTTTTTGTTGCCTTTAACAGCTCCCAGATAATGATGAAAATGCACGTATAACATCAGTTTGCTTCGGACCATTGTTGAATACTACTACTACTACTACTACTACTACTACTACTACTACTACTACTACTACTACTACTACTACTACTACTACTACTAATAATAATAATAATAATAATAATAATAATAATAATAATAATAATAATAATAATAATAATAATAATGTGAATTATCATACAAATTCAAAAGATTTAGGTGAAATTTTATGTCAAGGTTTATATGTAACTGTTCAAACAGGTTGTTTATATCATTTCGGTCCTAAATCTATACAAACATGTCCTACTATAGATCAATTAAATAATGATAACTATTCATCTTATTCAACTAATGAACTGCATAAACATTCTATTGTACATTGGTTAGATACATAATGACTATGTATTTATTTTTATATGATTGTTGTTTAGAATGATCTTAAAGATTTTTATTTTAACGAACTTCCTTTTTTATCTGTAAATTTTTTCTCTTTTGATAAATACATATACGTTCTATTGTATCATCTTGTTCGTTCTTTGTTGACTTCTAATCATAGCCATATTGATAGATGCAGACTACTTGGTTGGGATCCGCATGACTATTGTAACCGATGGTTGGAGACTTTGTGTGACATGGCTGAGAATCAATCACAATGGTGTGTAGGTGTATACACTTTCTGTCTTCCTTTAAACTATGAGATCAAAATCGCTTCATATCTTTCTTTCTACGTACTAATTCTTCCTTCCTGTACTATAACCTTATATACAATCTTTTATATATTACTACCATTGAATTAACTACTGCTATGAATTCAGTGTTCATGTTGTTGTGCTAATGAGGTGTGGCATCTTGGACTGATGCATATATGTGCCTGATCCTATGTTGTAACTGACTAACTGTTATATTCTTGCGTACTACTTGAGTACTCGAACACTAGAACCCTTCAAGTCTCAAGTTAGAAGACAGAAAACGAATGAGAGGGAATTTTATTCCGAACAATGTCAATTATGGTACAAAACACTCAAGTATTTATGGTTTTTCAATAAAAACGAAATCATCATTACAGTCATCCAATCCGTATATAGTGCTTTTTAGCATTTGTTCAATAGGGAAGGTACACATTGAGATTCAGGAATGTTCTTCAAAAAGATAATTGTATAGAATGTCTTCGGCTCGTTCTGAACTTCCTTGAGTTTACCTCGGGGTTGTCCTCACAGCTAAGGTCGACTTTATTATTGTTATATGAAGTGACAAGACTCCGTCCGGCCACCTTGGTGATCACAACTTTTTCTTTAAAAAATAAACCAGTAGTCCCTAACGTCATGCAATATGATCCAGAAAAATAAATCCATATTCTACATTGAATGTGTACTTAAACACAATGTAATGATATTATACACTACTTGATGAATGTGAAAAATGCTCCATCGTAGATAGACTTATGCTTGATTGTTAATCTTATTTTTCTCCAGACACTTGAAGCATAACACTAGTACATAACAGAATGATTAGTGCCTAATATTAAATACAAAGTAATAAGTACAGATAGTGAAGCGGTTGATGGAGCTACGGACTTTCATGTGTTCAGGTGATTGCTTCTTGTATTTAACATATATAAACGCTTCTAATCTCGATACATTATGCATAAGAATAGGTAGACTGAAAGTATATTCCAAACTGTCATTTTAAGATACTGCAGCATATGCTTATGAAGTCATTGACTATTGTAATAAATTCTATTAATCAATGTTGCAAACTTTGTGACTGAAATCAAAAAGATTAAAAGAATATAGAATCAATAATTTGTGTGATGCAACTCAAAAGCTGTCTCACTATCCATTTGCTAGAATTTCGACAAATTGGTGTCTCTATAGTGACTCGAACTATATACAGTTCCATTGTAAAACAGGTGGTCACGAAACTAATCGACCACATTTTCCCTACAAACGTATAGTAACGGCTTGAGTATTTGTATATTGTAGTTCAGTGACACTTTTTAAATGATCTTTCTTGGTCGTGTTTCTTTGGGAGAACATACTCACTAATCACACATCTATACCTATCGTGAGGAATAAAATTACCCTTCCATATTGCATAAATGGCAATGCACTTCTTATTTCGTTTGCCACTTAACAAGTATATCTAAAAGAGTAATATCGAGCTATGCACTTGAAGATGGTAGTTGGGACATCAATCTTGGGTAGATGAGTGAAGTAGATAACTATGTTCTCTTATAGTCATACAATTAAAGCAGCTTTCAAATTCCGAAGTAGAAACCCTAAAATGGGTAATCTCAGGTTTGTGGGAACCGTAGCTAACAAAGAATTAATTTTTGTGATTTCTGACTGAATTTGCAGAATGTGGCAATGAAATACCAGTTAATTTGCCGCTATGTTAGAATTCATTTGAAGTCTCAATATTGCGGAAACATAATAATCACTACTCAGTTCCCTATGTTTGATTACAGCACAAAATATGTGGTGCGGCAACAAATTACCCAACTGTTTGTGACATATGGAGATTAAAAAGTAAATATGAAATTTATTCAATGGTTGTTAGCTGCAATTTATCGTTTTCAGCAAAGGTTTGCAGTGGATTTAACGATTCTAATACTGTCATGCATCGTAAAATATATTCGATCCACGAATCCCATCACGATCGTCTACATTTAGTATAAAGCACATACCAAGAGGAATGCATGTCAGTCACTTTGGTGACGGTAAATTATAAGCTCTCAAAACTATGTGTGGGTGCGTGACACGTGCTAAATATGGCTAACCACCGTAAATCTCGATGTCGCGTGGAATAAGAGTAAGTTGGAGGTAAGCTAGCTATGGTCAGAAACAAAAAGTGACATCACTTCATGATAATTGTAGGAAGGTGAAGACTATGTGAATCCCACGATTATATATATATATATATATATATATATATATATATATATATATATATATATATATATATATATATATATATATATTTGTGCCACGCTTTACATGAATCATAACAAAGTGAGTATACTAATCGCTTAATACAAATAGTTAAAACAAATCTAACTCAGGATAATTTTACTACAATACGTCGAATGAAGCTTGACCACCGTGAAGAATCTGGAAGCACCAGACAGCCGTTTTGTCCTACCGAAAGACTCCTCAGAAGCGCGCATCCACAACCCCGCTCCGTGAGATTCGAACCCAGGATTTACGGTCGCTAAACCACTGAGCTGGCATCCAACGGTGTCGATGTCTAGACAGTATAAATTACTCAAAACTCACTAATGAGCACATGAAAATTATTATCAGAAAGTGGGTTTTGTGAATATTATAGTAGCATGGCTTAGGAGTCCCATACTAGCACGAAACGGCCGTCCAGAGCTTCCAGGCTTTACATGGTGGTCCGGCTTTAATCGGCTCATGATTTCAACTATTAAATTACTACAATGTCCACAAAACCCCCTTTCTGATAATACTTACACAGTTAAAAAATAGTTTATCTAGATATATTCCATTATTTCTCACTTTTTCTAATAACTTTCTAATCTGTATTATGTGAATGATGAACAAATATTCCCGAATGAATCCTATATCATTATTGTTGCTAAATAATTTAAATATCGTAAAATTATTCAACATTGAACTCATTATGACCCATTTTTATTATTGAAAACATCTCGTGGACACGAAAGGTCCATCTAGGAGAGTTGGAATACCCTCATTCCAAACCAATAGTGTACATGAGCTCCAGTATCCTGAAGAAACAAATGGCATATGAACCTATTATTGGCCACCAGCTAGCAACAGACTACATCTACTTACGCTGCTCCACTACTTTGTGGATCAGACCTTCAGGTTGAAGACTCGAGGTATAACCTTCTAAGAAAACCACCTGTTTCAGTCTGAGCATCCGGACAGTATCACAGCCCACTAACAAATCAAATGGACTTGTATAGCGCATATGTATTCGGTACCCTTTTGTACCAATACTTGTGTTCATATGTTAGCATAAGTAATTTATACATAAAACATTAATTTTTTTCTTTTTTTTCTTTATTTACTAATTCTCTTTTTAAAATGTAAAAAAATAAAGATTAAACGACATACATTGAGAAGGAGAAATATGTACATAAAATGAAGATGATGAAGAAGAAGAAGAAGAAGAAGAAGAAGAGGAAGAGGAAAGACAGAAACACATACATTTACCATACAACACATACACATCCTGATAGTATATTAATATGAATATACATAAAGAATAAGACAATCCATTGTTGAACAATTGAAAATCATTACACACACAAAAAGAAAATTTACTTAATGTGAATTGTGGCAGAACATAAATAATGAACTAACAAAAAAACAAGAAGAAGAAGAACAACAACAAAGAGAATCCTATTTTTGCTTTAAAAAGAAAAAAAAGATGGAACAAATGGATAAAAAGCAGTCATGAAATATCAACTGTTGCTGAGAACAAAATAATAGACATTTTATGTTCTCTACTCTCATATAAGCATACACACACATTTACACATAATAATATATACATCAAATTATTATTATTATTATTACTATTACTTCTACTATTGCATAACATCTACATGGTTGTTCTTCAATGACAAACCCTATATTGGATAAATTGAAAGAAAAAAAAAGAGAAATATTATAAGGATGTATAACTCATGACAAAACAAGAACTTATCTTGTTACAATTGAAACTCTACAGTACATTTTACCTAGGAAACTTGATGTTAGTCTTAAAAGAGAAAAAAAATGACAAAGTGTTATAATTTCTCTTATTACTACTACTATCTAGCTATCCCTATTGCCTAGTAGTATTCTTGGACATCAATTCACTCGACAATTACCTAAATGACGATACAGTCGAACGTTAGTATATTTATAGAGAAAGATCGATTGTGAATACAGTAATCTTGAGTACTGTTAGAGGAATGAGGGCAGTTATCACTTCCCAGTTGCTCACACCGTGGAAGGGTTCTTCTGAAGATACCTGAGAAGGAAAATGGGTTAGAGATGATCTTAGTGACCTGAGAGCGTAACCGCCGTGCTCAAGGGACAACTGCTTGAGGTTAGTTACACATGACCTTTTTGAGAATAATTTTCGTGTTAGGTCCGTATTTGTTGAAACCTTACCTCCAGAGACCCTTGTACAGTCAGCAGTACGACTTCATCCTCAGACCTTGGGTTTGCTGCTTTTAGTCTTACAGCTCTTCAACCGACCTATCTGGCATGGTAGGATCTTGAGGAATGATTGTTAAAGCCAGTATAGCTCGATTGGTTCATCACGATAAGCAAGCCCAACCACCACTTCAAGGTAGCAGCAAGGATAGAGTATATTTATGGTTTTTACATTAGAAGATTCTATAGTCTTCAAGTATCGACTAGCGCTGACTGGATAAGAAATAGCCAGTCAGTGTTCATCAATACAATATTATGTGGAATGTGTTTTACTCCAATCTATGTCTTGCTAACACGTTGTTACTGACTGACTAATTGATACGAGCATTTA